ATGGTGTGGTGTGGCCGCTTCTGATCCACTGAATAAGGGGCATGGTAAGAAATATTGAGATGGGCCATAAAGCAAATTATTGAATTTGTCCAAACCAAATAAAGTCGATCTATCAGGTACATTCATCATAGATGTTCCCTCTCCCTCATAAATAAAAGCTAGCTATATTGAGATAGTACGTGTAAAACACACGGAGCATTTGGGTAGAGTCATTTTAAAAATATGTCAACGTGAAGGTCTCAATTTTATAAAAATGTCAAGGAAAATATTGATAAAATGTGAATACTATTAGAATTTTTTTGAAAAAATTCTTAACAAAAAATTAATAAATAGACATTTTACTCTTTTAAATAAGTTGAAATTTATTAATCATCGTTATGATATTAACATTCTATTAAATTTTTTATTTTTCTTTTACAATTATCGAATTCATAGATATACGAAAATATCGAGCTAATGAAAAATCAATACCCCTACTTGTTTTTCTTTTTATGCGAGGGAGGCACAAGGTTCGTGGCAACTTATACACCACCCATTCTGTATTATATATGAGACGAGGCACCACCCTTGGGGGCATTATGGTAAATAGAAAGTTATTTTTATTATTTAATTATAGAATACAAATTGAAGTTACCATTGACGTATTAATTTATTTGAAAAAGACAATTTTTGACATCTGTAAAAGGATGAAATAATTGATCCTTAGTCAATATACGAATATGCATTAAAATTTTTTGTCAGTGTTACTTCACTTCTGGATTATTTTTCTGACATCTTTAAGATAATTCTAAACTTTTAATTTTTTTTTAATTCTTAATTTTTGCATTAAAGACTTTTCAACTAAATCATTCTGTAAAAAAACAAATTAAAAAATATATAGTGTATTATTAAATATTGTTTAACTTTCTTTTTTTTTTATAACAAAATTTACCAATTTTCTTATGTTGTTCACAACTTTATTTTGTTGGTTCTTTTTTCTACTAATTAACATAACAAAATAATGTGAGTTTAAAAATACTCTAGTAATAATTCTACAACAATAACACTATTTAATTAAGATTTTGTGTTCTTTTATCATTTGTGAATGGTTTCAATTGAGTTCGTATAATATTAAAAGGTTTGATTTGGACGTAGATTTGATTAAATTTGTCAAACAGCCTATGGTTTTATTAAATGTTGACATTTTATTATGGACCACGTATTTTCTTTGGACACTAATTCATTGTCCCTATCTATATTATACGTTTAAAGTAAATAATGTCACACAAAACAAATAACTATCAACTTGTTGGTACCGTCCAAGTGGCTTCAAGAGATTTAACAAATATAGAGAAATTAAAAATTTTAAAAGGTTAAATTATAATTAGCCTCTAAACTTTTAAGGTGGTAACTAATAGATCTCAAAACTGTTAATCTTGTGTTTAATGGGTTCTTGATGGATAAAAGTTTCCAGCACGCTCATACATTTTTTATTTTGCATCTAATAAATCTTTGAATTTTCAATTTTGATCTAATGGTTTCGTAATTTAATTCAAAAATATATATTATGGACTTTTATAGGAAACATTTCCCATACTACATACTCATCAATCAACTGGTTATGATTTTTTTATAGATAATTTTTTAATGCGAACGATTCAAATATCATCCTTAAATGACGCTGACGTGGTTGGCAATAAATGAGGATGTCATCATGGGTTTGCAATGCGGAATCACCAACTTTCTTCTTTGAGAGAAAAAAATTAGAGTTAACATCCCGACTAGTCACCAAAGTACATGAATAGATTAATCTGTAAATAAAATAATCGGGTACGAGAGGTTTTTTGTATATGGGAAAGTATATGAGCACTCTATGATTACCAATTTTTAGTAATTATTGAAAAAGTTGCTTCGTTTATTAAAGAGAGTTACCTTTTAGAAATAAAAAAAGTTTTATACATGTGTTTAAATGTCATATTCTTATTAACCATTACCCTTTACTAATTTCATGTTTTTTCACTAAACATGGGACGATTTCACTTTTTGTCTTCCAAAGCTTGAGCGATGGGGTCTTAGTATATCGGTGTATGATGTGACGAATCGTCCTCCGTCGTTAATGACCTTTAGCGATATAAAATGGCTTTTAACGACATTTTTTTTCGTCGGTGAAAGTACCAATTCTTGTCGTGTTAAGAGTAAGATTTTAAACCATAATTAAGAGTGGCATGTAAAATAATTATTAGCAAAATGACTTTGAACAATAATTATGAATTCTTTCAAAGTTTATTGATATTTACGTGGGCAGTAAATTACTCCCTTCAAGAATATAATGAAGTTATTCACATGAATTTATTAATTTCTGTCATATGATTTTTGAAAATATATTATGGAAAATATATTTACTTATTTATTTAAAGAAAAAAGATTGTTAGCAAATAATTTTAAATTCTTATCACGCTTGTTTTTTAGGAAAAGAAAAAGTATTTTATAAGAGTTTTATTAATTACTTTATTTCTTTTTCTTAAAATCAGTTTCAGCATCCTAAAATGATTCAATTAAAAAGTATTAAGGGAAACAAAACTAATTTTAAAAAATATAAAATTAATGAGGTTCTAAATGTCTCTAAACTAATTTTAAAAATATATAAAATTATCAAGATCTAAATCTTAGGACCCTCCGCTCCAGATACCATGTTAAAAATGAATGAACTGTCACTCAACCCAAAATCAAGTTCGTCCATATACAATTTTTATATCTAAATAGTTTAATATGGGATCTTTTAACATACCCTCTCAAGATGGTGCCTCTTGGTCGAATCCTATTTTGAGGAGATGCTTGTCTGAGCTTTTAGATTCGATATCATATCAAATATCCATGAGATTTATCTCAAAACCATTGACAATAAAAGAAGTAACCCACCAATTAGATTATAAATCATTTGTTAGGCCTTTTATATTTTCAATACGAGATCCTTATCTGATAAGCTTTTGAGCATATATAACTCGTTATCCTGTAAAACTCTATGAAACTCTAGTAATGCAATAGAGGTGAAATGCATTAAATTATTCGTCAATCTTTTTAATAATAGTAGTTGGGAAGATACGTACATACCAATAAAGTACATAGAATTTAATGTCGTTTTAAATGCGTAATAATTACATGATGCAACGTATATCAATTTTGTTTGTGTGGAAATAAATTGGCTGATGCGATATTGTAGCTTCGCGGCAACTTATGCTACCACCCATTTTTGAGTTTATGGTAAATAGCGATTTAGTGTTATTATTTAATTATTTTTTTTAGTACAACAATATGAGAATACTGGAGATTGAATATCTGACTTCGAGAGAAGGAGATATCGTTGAGCTATGTTTACGTTGACATGCTAGTATTTAATTATTGGATAAAAATGAAAGATAATGTTCATTTAAAATAATGATGATGACATCAAGAAAAATCATGATACCACGAATCACAAACACTGCCTACCTAAATAGACCGGTCGAAAAGGAACTACAAAAAATCGAGTGCACAGAGTCGACCTCGAGCTCGGGCTTAGGATGTTTGAGAGTGTTTTAAATTATATACCAATGCCTTCTAACAAAAGCATTTTTTTAAAATGTAACTCGTCGTCTGGATTATTTTTAATTTTATTTGATATTTGTTGTAAAAATACATAAAATATAAATATAACAAAATGTAAAAATAAATATAAAATTAAAATTTGCTATTAAAAATTAAAA